TGAAATAGAAGTAAATATTAAAGTTCTTTAGAGGACACACCAGAAGGGAAGAGACAAAGAAGCAGATCCAGACATGCTCAGATCCATCACTGCAGACGTATAAAGAAATTAAACTGGGCCAGCACAAGACAGATAACTATGACAGTACGATGCAGAAACTGAACATCTCAATGTAAAAATTGTTTAGCACGACAAATACAGGGCTCGATACGTGAATTCCGCCTTTTCCACATTCTTTCGCATGTCTGTGATTAATTCTTACTCCTATCAATGGCGATTGTTTAACAAATATGTCTTGTTATGTAGTCATGTAAAGGAATCAAGCAGTTCAATAGTCAACATAAATGTATCTATCTATCTATGTATGTAATGTATGCATGCATGTTTGTGTGTGTAAGTGATTGGGTGAGCGTGTGTATGTGGGTGTATGTATGCACGCGCGGGTTTTTGCATGCACTTTACAACTCATGCTTCTGTGTTCTTTTATAATATTCATAATATGCATAACATCATATGATCATAGCATACTTTATTAGTAAAATACAACTGCTGTGCGAAAGATGGTTGATTGGAAGGGCCTGCGTGCCCAATTTGTGACTCTTTGAAAATAACGTTCGTTCGTTCTATCTATCTATCTAATCTATCTATCTATCTATCTATCTATCTATCTATCTATCTATCTATCTATCTATCTATCTATCTATCTATCTATCTATCTATCTATCTATCTATCTATCTATCTATCTATCTATCTATCTATCTATCTATCTATCTATCTATCTATCTATCTATCTATCTATCTATCTATCTATCTATCTATCTATCTATATATCTATCTATCTATCTATCTATCTATCTATCTATCTATCTGTCTGTCTGTCTGTCTGTCTGTCTGTCTGTCTGTCTGTCTGTCTGTCTGTCGGTCGGTCGGTCGGTCGGTCGGTCGGTCGGTCGGTCGGTCGGTCGGTCGGTCGGTCGGTCGGTCGGTCGGTCGGTCGGTCGGTCGGTCGGTCGGTCGGTCGGTCGGTCGGTCGGTTCGGTCGGTCGGTCGGTCGGTCGGTCGTCGGTCGGTCGGTCGGTCGGTCGTCGGTCGGTCGGTCGGTCGGTCGGTCGGTCGGTCGGTCGGTCGGTCGGTCGGTCGGTCGGTCGGTCGGTCGGTCGGTCGGTCGGTCGGTTCGGTCGGTCGGTCGGTCGGTCGGTCGGTCGGTCGGTCGGTCGGTCGGTCGGTCGGTCGGTCGGTCGGTCGGTCGGTCGGTCGGTCGGTCGGTCGGTCGGTCGGTCGGTCGGTCGGTCGGTCTGTCTGTCTGTCTGTCTGTCTGTCTGTCTGTCTGTCTGTCCAATCTGTCTGTCAATCTATCTATCTAATCTGTCTGTCTGTCTGTATTTCTCCAAATCTAATGTTAAAAGACTAAGTTCCCTTCAAAATCGCGCTGGTTTTAGATAAAAAACGTATCGACAAAAATAATCTCTATAGCTATCTAAAGTAGTGTTTTCTTAGGTTAGCACAGAATATTCCTAGTACATCTCACACGGTTTAGGTGGTTTTACTACTGTGACGTTGTCTATTGTTTACTACTCGTCGTATTTCCAGGCGGTATTGCTTTGCTGTGATACAGAGATGAAGGCTTACCACAGTCGAAGCCAGAAATGTTAGACTTCCTGACTGTAGCACAAAGTCATAGATGTACCAGACAATGGGTTAGCAGACAGACATGTTAAAAATCGAACAAAGGAGAAACAACACACCCATCTATTGTCAGTAACCAGAAATCAGAACACTTATCAAGGGAAAATACAAGGAATTGTGGAGAGAACAAGCTAAGAGTAAAAATCCACAACACCCCATGAGCAGACTCAACAGAAAGCAACATATAACAATTTTTCGTCTACGAACAGGACACTGCAGGCTCAACTACTACATGCATAAAATAAAGATGGTAAGTCCCCACGGTGTGCGTCAAACAGGACTACAAATACAGGAGCACTGCAGACCTGCACACTCTACATACAACTTCGAAAACACATCTGGCCTCAATAGCAAACTATGCAGAGCAAGCTATAAAGACTCATGAAGTGCGAGTTCAAAAAGGAAATCAACCTGATGGTGTGATCTGAGCTTACAGAACCGAAAGCAAAGAAGAAAAATAACAGAGGAGGGGGGATAGAAAAACGTATCACTACAAGCATGTCGTAAAAGAAGACTTAAAATCGGTTTCCAGTAATCTATGTATTGGGCCGAAAGGCGGAGTTATCACAGGGCAGCAGCAAACAACAACACAGGGCCAACCACTCTTGTATTGGTAAACGCCCAGACACAGGGCCAACCACTCTTGTATTGGTAAACGCCCAGACACAGGGCCAACCACTCTTGTATTGGTAAACGCCCAGACACAGGGCCAACCACTCTTGTATTGGTAAACGCCCAGACACAGGGCCAACCACTCTTGTATTGGTAAACGCCCAGACACAGGGCCAACCACTCTTGTATTGGTAAACGCCCAGACACAGGGCCAACCACTCTTGTATTAGTAAACACCCAGACACAGTGCCAACCACTCTTGTTATGGTAAACGCGAAAACGAAGAAACAAAAATGGGCATGTAAGCACGAGGGGGAGTGGATCAAAGAGGTTAACACGTATGTAATAATAATATTTTAAAACGCATATGATCTAAAAATAGATCTATTTAAAGTAGAGCATTTCGGCTGATTAAAATAATGTTTTGTATCCACACTCTCACACACACACATACATACACACGCGCATACACACACATGCGCACACACGCACACATACAAATATCATGTGCATAACATGTTTACGCTGTCAATCCATTAGCAGAGTAGACTTACCGGCCAATACTCAGACAACATGTTTCACATCGAATAATCACACAAAATCTGCAGAAAATATTGGCTACTGAATAAGAGTGTGATTCTATTAGAATAATTTGCTCTATGTTTATCTAGGTCAGGGAACAACAGTAAAACAACAAAGAGAACGAGGGGGGGGGGGAAAGACTAAAAATGGACGCTCATTGAAAATATTTACACTCTTGCACATGAAAAGAGAAAGATGATAATTTAAAAGTAAAAGGCATCGAAGAAGAAGAACAAGAAGACGACGATGATGACGTCGATCATGACGGAGGAGGAGTAGGAGGAGAAGGAGGAGAAGAAGAAGAAGAAGAGGAGTAGGAAGAAGAAGAAGAAGAAGAAGAAGAAGAAGAAGAAGAAGAAGAAGAAGAAGAAGAAGAAGAAGAAGAAGAAGAAGAAGAAGAAGAAGAAGAAGAAGAAGAAGAAGAAGAAGAAGAAGAGGAAGAAGAAGAAGAAAAAGAAGAAGAAGAAGAAGAAGAAGAAGAAGAAGAAGAAGAAGAAGAAGAAGAAGAAGAAGAAGAAGAAGAAGAAGAAGAAGAAGAAGAAGAAGAAGAAGAAGAAGAAGAAGAAGAAGAAAGAAGAAGAAGAAGAAGAAGAAGAAGAAGAAGAAGAAGAAGAAGAAGAAGAAGAAGAAGAAGAAGAAGAAGAAGATGAAGAAGAAGAAGATGATGATGATGAAGAAAAAGAAGAAGAAGAAGAAGATGATGATGATGATGAAGAAAAAGAAAAAGAAGAAGAAGAAGAAGAAGAAGAAGAAGAAGAAGAAGAAGAAGAAGAAGAAGAAGAAGAAGAAGAAGAAGAAGAAGAAGAAGAGAAGAAGAAGAAGGAAGAGAGAAGAAGAAGAAAAAAAGAAGAAGAAGAAGAAGAAAAAAGAAGAAGAAGAAGAAGAAGAAGAAGAAGAAGAAGAAGAAGAAGAAGAAGAAGAAGAAGAAGAAGAAAGAAGAAGAAGAAGAAGAAGAAGAAGAAGAAGAAGAAAAAAAAAGAAGAAGAAGAAGAAGAAGAAGAAGAAGAAGAAGAAAGAAGAAGAAGAAGAAGAAGAAGAAGAAGAAGAAGAAGAAGAAGATGAAGAAGAAAAAGAAGAAGAAGAAGAAGAAGAAGAAGAAGAAGAAGAAAAAGAAGAAGAAAAAAAAAAAAGAAGAAGAAGAAGAAGAAGAAGAAGAAGAAGAAGAAGAAGAAGAAGAAGAAGAAGAAGAAGAAGAAGAAGAAGAAGAAGAAGAAGAAGAAGAAGAAGAAGAAGAAGAAGAAGAAGATGAGAAGAAGAAGAAGAAGAAGAAGAAGAAGAAGAAGAAGAAGAAGAAGAAGAAGAAGAAGAAGAAGAAGAAGAAGAATTTAAAAACATGAACAAATACACAAAGAAGGAAAGCAAGAGGAACTTATAATTATATCACCCCTGTCACGTAAAACAGTACTCCGTACAAAAGAAACAAAACAAATTAAAACCAGCGACCTTGTTAAAATCACATTCTCTATTTGACATACAGAGCCACACAAGCATTCCCAAGGATACGTCTCCTAGAGAGTCTGGTGGTTTTCGTCAGTACTTCTACACGTGTGTGGTTTCTGTGTCAACACAATCTACAGTTAAGACAAAACTCTGATTGCTCTCTTTTCAAACAGATCAGGGACAACCCAAAATAAGAGAGAGATCAATTGTATAAAGTTACAATTAACACAATAGTGATAGAAAAAAGGGCTGGCTTTTCTCGCTTGGCCTGTTCATTTCTGATGATATATATGCGCTAGGGACAAAAAAACTTGCTATAATGTAAAATATATAACAAATACCTGAAAGGGATCTTCTATACATTACTGGAAAAAGGGAAGTACTTTCTCCCATATGCAGAATTGCGTTGGGGGAGAGGGGGAAATAGGACAGTCCCCCACCCTGACCCAATCCTTTGGAGGCCTAAGGAGCGCCAGGATCCGGCAACTCTGATGTGTTGATCACACAAAGTGTCACGAGTGCAGCTAATGTGTTAGTCAGTGTATATTTCACATACAAGTGTAGCATAAACTTTACGTATAGAGAAATGTGGTGGTTTCCCCTTGCTTTCCACACATGTTTATATTATATCTAATGGGTGGTTAAATAAACAAGAAGTACTTTTTTCAACGTGCAGGTGATGCTTCCATACAAATCGCTGCTGGTTGTGATGGCCGTCATAGCTCTCTCATGGCTTACACAAGGCACAACTGCCTCCGCCGTCAGAAATTACAACTCACAGTTGGATGACAAAACAAGACAGGTAGGGTTCTAAAAAACATCTTTCTGTTGTTTATTACTGAGTTGGCAACCAACAAACAAACCGGAACCCTTGTATATATGTTGCTTTTTGGTACAGTCCATTCTATGTCCTCCTCATCTCATTCACATGTCTCTAGGAAGATGCATGGCAGAGCTGATATCATCAGTCCTTGTTAACGCGATTATGTGACATGGGAGTAAAGGTTGGTGGGCAGGCCTATGCCGTCTTTAAGGCCAAGACAGAATACACTATAGCCAATTTCTCAGGGAAAGGAACAATCAAATACTGGAGTAGCTGCTGCATCGGAGGACTTAGCTGGCATACAAATACCAAATGTACAGTGACGTCGATTTTGATAACATTAGGTATTTCTAAATCTTTTAGGAAAAGAATCTTTATCGAACCCCCCCCCCCCCCAATATATATATATTGGTTTACGTACTATATGTGTTTGTATATATACATACACATATGCAGGCATATATATATATATATATATATATATATATATATATATATATATATATACACATCTACAAATATATATATATATATCTGTGCATGTAGTGGAATTTACATGTTTTCACAAGCTGTTCTTTTCCTCCGTACAAGGTGTTCCACTTGTCTGGTCTCAGAGTGAGTAGCATTCTTCTAGTCTCGTTGAGTTTTGGGCACTCAAAGAGATGGTGTTCAACAGTTTCGTAGAGGTAGTTACAAAGCTGGCACTCTGGGGAGTGTTGTGGGCTGTATTTTGTTTAGGTGTCCTTTGTGTGGAGTATGTTGTGTTCTGAGTCTAAAGATGGTGGCCTAGTCCCTTCTTGTTAAATGGTTAATGTCGTCATTAGGATCAGGGCCAGCCATATGTCTATAAACCTCTCTTCCAGTGTCTCCCATGGTCCATCTGTTCAGCCAAGTCTCTTTGTTTATAGCTTTTAAAAGTGTTTTTGCTGTCTGTAGGGTTGTTGCTGTAGGTGGTTGTTCTTGTGTTGCTCCTTTCTTTGCCATTCTGTCAGCTCTGTCATTACCTGGTGTGCCGGAGTGGCCTGGAATCCACTGCATCACTATTCTGATGTTGTATGAGGTAATAAGCTGATCAGCATCCAGGATTATCTTAGCTATGTCAGTTCTGCAGCGTTCACTGCCCTCCAGAGCTTGAAGGGCAGACATTGAATTGGTGAAGATGACAATATTTTGGGCCTTTGAAGGATAAACTTCCATTACAGTCTTTAGGTGGTATACTTTTGTTTCCAGTGCGATTATTTCAGCTTCATAATTTGAGGCGAATTCCATGAATGCATCAAATATCTCTTCAATAGATCCACCAGGGTAACCTATGTAGATTACGTAACCTGCTTTAATGGTGGCTTTGAACGTCATAACAGCTATCAGTATGAACAAAATAACACCATCATCAATAGCAGGTACTTTGCAGAAAGTCGTCTCATCTTAGTCTGCCCGAAAGAAACTAGGTCGCTTGCCAGTTCTCCCGCATCATGGACATCAACTCTCAGTGTGTGCATCACATCAGTTCTCAGTTTATGTAATCTACGAGTTCTCAGTCAACACAATTCTCACTTTGTGAGGTACATCAGTTCTCAGTTTGGTTATAGCATACATTCTCAGTTTGTGTGCTACATCAGTTCTCAGTTTGGTTATAGCATACATTCTCAGTTTGTGTGCTACATCAGTTCTCAGTTTGATTATAGCATACATTCTCAGTTTGTGAGGTACATCAGTTCTCAGTTTGGTTATAGCATACATTCTCACTTTGTGAGGTACATCAGTTCTCAGTTTGGTTATAGCATACATTCTCAGTTTGTGTGCTACATCAGTTCTCAGTTTGGTTATAGCATACATTCTCAGTTTGTGTGCTACATCAGTTCCCAGTTTGGTTATAGCATACATTCTCACTTTGTGAGGTACATCAGTTCTCAGTTTGATTATAGCATACATTCTCAATTCGTGTGCTACATCAATTCTCAGTTTGGTTATAGCATACATTCTCAGTTTGTGTGCTACATCAGTTCTCAGTTTGGTTATAGCATACATTCTCACTTTGTGAGGTACATCAGTTCTCAGTTTGGTTATAGCATACATTCTCAGTTTGTGTGCTACATCAGTTCTCAGTTTGGTTATAGCATACATTCTCACTTTGTGAGGTACATCAGTTCTCAGTTTGGTTATAGCATACATTCTCAGTTCGTGTGCTACATCAGTTCTCAGTTTGGTTATAGCATACATTCTCAGTTTGTTAGCTACATCAATTCTCAGTTTGGTTATAGCATACATTCTCAGTTTGTGTGCTACATCAGTTCTCAGTTTGGTTATAGCATACATTCTCAGTTTGGTTATAGCATACATTCTTAGTTTGTTATAGCATACATTCTCAGTTTGGTTATAGCATACATTCTTAGTTTGTATAGCATACATTCTTAGTTTGGTTATAGCATACATTCTCAGTTTGGTTATAGCATACATTCTCAGTTTGGTTATAGCATACATTCTTAGTTTGTTATAGCATACATTCTTAGTTTGGTTATAGCATACATTCTCAGTTTGGTTATAGCATACATTCTTGGTTTGTTATAGCATACATTCTTAGTTTGGTTATAGCATACATTCTCAGTTTGGTTATAGTATAACTTATAGCATACATTCTCAGTTTGGTTATAGCATACATTCTTAGTTTGTTATAGCATACATTCTTAGTTTGGTTATAGTATAACTTATAGCATACATTCTCAGTTTGGTTATAGCATACATTCTCAGTTTGGTTATAGTATAACTTATAGCATACATTCTCAGTTTGGTTATAGCATACATTCTTAGTTTGTTATAGCATACATTCTTAGTTTGATTATAGCATACATTCGCAGTTTGTGTACAGCTCTCAGTCTTACAGTATAAATTATCACTTTAGAGTAATTATTATCAGTTTGTGTGTATTATCAGGAGCAGAAGAAAAAGAAAAAAACAGAAGCAGAAGAAGAGATTAAGGAGGAGGAAGATATGAAGAAGAAGAAGATGGAAGAGAAGGAGAAAGAGGAGGAGGAGGAGGAGAAGAAGAAGAAGAAGAAGAAGAAGAAGAAGAAGAAGAAGAAGAAGAAGAAGAAGAAGAAGAAGAAGAAGAAGAAGAAGAAGAAGAAGAAGAAGAAGAAGAAGAAGAAGAAGAAGAAGATGGAGGAGGAGACGAAGAAGAAGAAGAAGAAGATGGAGGAGGAGAAGAAGAAGAAGATGGGGGAGGAGAAGAAAAAGAAGATGGAGGAGGAGACGAAGAAGAAGAACGTTTAAGTCTAAAGCTAAAGATGAACGCAATATTTAGTACACTGATACCTGTACAATAATTCCAGGAAGTGATCGCACTAGCAGGCCGGATAGTCAAGCTGGCTATGTATGGCTATGACTGGAACGAATACCACAAAAGGAACGGAGGAACGGCCGATACTCTCTTCAACATGCCTGACTTAGAGGACGTTGGAAGATAGGTAAGTTGTTGTCTAGTGTGGTTGGAAGATAGGTAAGTTGTTGTCTAGTGTGGTTGGAAGATAGGTAAGTTGTTGTCTATTGTGGTTGGAAGATAGGTAAGTTGTTGTCTATTGTGCTAGCACGAAACACATACTTCAAATGCTTTAAAATGATTTTGTCGTTTTTTTATTTTTCTGTAATTACATAGTCTCATGTTAAGTAGTTCATTCAGCGTCGTTTCTTTTCCGAGTGTGTTGTGGTTACTTTGCAGTTTTAGTCTGTGGATAAAGGCTTTGTCGCTGCAAAACATTATCTTTATTTATTATAATGTATTCTGTAAAGCTGACATACACCTCTTGTCTTTTCCCCTTTTTTAAACGTATTCATTGTGAATACATTTGTTAAGCTGATTTATATTCCTGACACCCACTCCCCCCCCCCCCCCCCCCCCCCCCAACCCATTTTGTTACGTTTTCACTTAAAAAAATTGTAAAGCTGATATATACCTCCTGTTTTCCTAAATATTTTTACTGTTTCACTGTTAATGATTCTTCAAAGCTAGCGTATAACCCTCCCTTTTGAAAAAAAAAATTTATAATAAAGAAAAAGAAAAGGAACAGAATTCATGAGAATAAGTACAGAGCAAATAAACCATCGACATAAAGATCGAAGATCAAAGTCTGAAACAAGTGCAATAATTGAAATACTTGGACAGCACCTTTACACACAATGGTAAAATAGACAGAGAAATAGAAACAAGAATCCAACAAGCCAACAATCTCAAATACCAACTTGCTCCAGCTTTAAAACACCCTGCTATACAAACAGAAACAAAAAGGCACATTATAAATATAATATCTATACCGACTTTAGGTTACCAATGTCCGACTTGGACATTGACAAAAGAAGAAGAAAGAAAACTAACTACCTGTGAGATGAGATGTTTGAGAATGGCTGTGAATAAAACCAGAAGAGATCGAGTAAGAAACGACGTAATCACAAAAACTATTGGAACAACGCCCATCGTCAAATTTATTGAGAAAAAGGAATGAAATGGTTTGGCCATTTAATGAGAATGAAACCAACGACGTCAGAAGCCAGAGCGTACAACCTAAAAATCAAAACATCAAGAGGCAGGGGAAGACCGAGAAGAAAATAGATTGAAGGAGTCACTGAAACCTTGAGACTACATACCATCATGGCACATCAAGCGACTGAGCGCGCACTGGCTTGGCTGCAGATCGTCTGACGAACTGCGACGCCTAGCGGCCTAAGCAGATATTGACACAATAAGAAAGAGGAAGAGGACTGTCAATGATTATGTAAAACTGACGTTTACTCCTTGTTTTACATTTGTCTTTAAAAAAAAATTTTGGTGGATTGACTGTAAACGACTATAGATAGATAGATAGATAGATAGATAGATAGATAGGTAGATAGATAGATAGATAGATAGATAGATAGATAGATAGATAGATAGATAGATAGATAGATAGATAGATAGATAGATAGATAGATATAGATAGATAGATAGATAGATAGATAGATAGATAGATAGATAGATAGATAGATAGATAGATAGATAGATAGATAGATAGAAGATAGATAGATAGATAGATAGATAGATAGATAGATAGATAGATAGATAGATAGATAGATAGATAGATAGATAGATAGATAGATAGATAGATAGATAGATAGATAGATAGATAGATAGATAGATAGATAGATAGATAGATAGATAGATAGATAGATAGATAGATAGATAGATAGATAGATAGATAGATAGATAGATAGATAATTGGGCTCTCCTGTCAACTACGGCCGGTAGACAACAGTAGACGGCCGGTTAGTCGGAGTTCTGTCCCCTGGCTGCAGTCCAATTACCGACTGGAGAAGGCACGAATTAAACAACAAAGTGAGGTCGACATGCATTGCAGACCCCGGGCTGCGACTCAACTTAGCGACGGCGTTCAATTACCGCTTCTTGCGACGCATTACGGAGTGGATTTGAGGGAACACAAGAAGTGACATAATTACTGTGTGTTGGCGATATACAGCGTGCAGTGCCCTACTGTCATCATACGATTAGGGTTTGGGTTAGGTTTAGGGTTAGGGTTAGAGTTGTTACTTTGAGTTTGTGCGAAGACGAGATGCGGCGACACTAACCGTAACCCTAACCCACAACCTAACCCTAAACCTAACCTAAACCCTACCCCTATCACTAACCCTACCCCTAACCCTAAACCTAACCCACACCCTAACCCTAAACCTAACCCTAAACCTAACCCAAACCCTACCCCTAACACTAACCCTACCCCTAACCCTAATCCAAACCCTAACCCAAACCCTACCCCTAACACTAACCCTACCCCTAACCCTAATCCAAACCCTACCCTAACACTAACCCTACCCCTAACCCTAATCCAAACCCTACCCCTAACACTAACCCTACTCCTAACCCTAATCCAAACCCTACCCCATAACACTAACCCTACCCCTAACCCTAATCCAAACCCTACCCCTAACACTAACCCTACCCCTAACCCTAATCCAAACCCTAACCCTAACCCTAATCGTATGATCATAGCAGGGCAGTGCACGCTGTCTATCGCCAACACTCAGTAATGATGTCATTTGTTTCGTTTCCTCCTGTCCAGTCCGTAATTGCACTGCAGCCAGAGGACAGAACTCCGACTAACCGGCCGTCTACTGTTGTCTACCGGCCGTAGTTGACAGGAGAGCCGATTATTGGCACCTTTCCGTCTTTCCTGGCGATAGTGTTATATTGCGCTATGAGGAGCCATGAGACTCACAGCCCATGGCGATATGATATATATAAAATAGCATATATGATGCTATCCCCTGGCCTTTTCAATCTGTATTTGGAATACATAATGAGAGCAACCCTAGAAAATCATTACACATGTATAGCCATCGGCGAAAGACAACTGTGTATTCTGCATTTGGCAGACGACATAAATTTCATGTCTGGTTCCGAAACAGACCCCCATGAACTTACTACAAGATTAGAGACAGCCTGTCGTAAATATAACATGGAAATTAATGCCGAGAAAAGCAAGATTCTGGTAAATAGTCACAATAATCAAGTACCTACCAACATACAGATAAAAGAGAAAAAACTAGAAGTTGAAACATTTAAATATCTTGGCTCCCACATATGCAACGATGGCAGCTGTATCAAATTCGAGCAATGCAAGACTTGATACGACAACAGCCGCGATGTCGCAGCTGAATACGATGTGGAAGAGCAAAATCAGCATCGTAGTCAAGGTCAAATTTTACAAATCACGTATTGTCTATTTCCTTATACGGATGTGAGAGTTGGACTTTCACTGTGGAAATGGAAAAGATGATTGATGTTTTTGGATGTAAATGCAATAGACTCATTTTACGAATTAGTTATAAACAAAACAGAAAAAAAATAAAAACTAAGAAATTTGTCAGAGGCAAAATATACAAATTCAGGGACATCAGGAACCTCTCTTGGCAGTGGTGAGGCATGATTTGATTGCAAAGACTTTACTTCAAGGAACACTGAGGGGTAGTCGAAGAAGAGGAGGGCAAAGAAGAACTAGAATGACAACATCAAGAAATGAACAGGACTAAGTTATCATACACTTATTCATCAAGCCAAAGACAGAGACAGTTGGTGGGTTGTATGTGCTAGTGCTTCCATGACCACACCTCCACGACCATAACGGGTCAAGGGTTATGTTATGTTAGATAAATGATTCGCTGAAGCTGACGCATGCTCCTTGTTATTCCATTTTTCTCTATGTACTCACTGTAAAAAAATTCAGTATTCTCTTAAGCTGACAGAAATGACTTGTTTTCCTCTTTGTTTTCACGTACTCACTGTGAATGTAAATGTGGCTAATTCCTTCAGATAAATGAATGACTAAACAAAAACAATGACTAGGAAACTCCGCACTAATGCAACCTAACCTTTTAATCTCAATCTTTAATCTGTATCAGCAAGTACAATAACAAGAAGCGAAATCCTAAACCCCATCTATCGAGTAGAATAGAAGTTGCGGTGACACTAAGAAACCATACTGGAAAAGCAACCCGGTTACTAATCTTATAGTGAGCAGGGGGAAAAGAGGTCAGATGGGAGGGGGGACGGGCCATAGCCAATACAGCTTTGTTAAATGTTTAATAATAATAATAAATATAATAATAGTAATAATATTAATAATAATAATAATAATAATAATAATAATAATAATAATAATAATAATAATAATTAATTATTAATAGTGAAAGGAAAAGGATATGATTGTCAAATTCCTAGTAGTTAATTTCTGTTAGAAAGAAAGTTGTGGGAATCTTACTTCGAGGCTGCATGTAAAGTTGTTAAGAACATGATCCTTTCATGGCTGCAGTTGACCTTTCCCATTCACTAGAGGATACAGTCGACGATTTTGAACGTAATGTTTTACAGAACATGTTTAAGTATTGTTGTGGGTCAACGAAAAAGCAAAATGCTAACTCCATACCTCGGAGCTTTCCAAACTGTTTCTCGTGAGACATTCGTGAGTCGTGACACATTTGTGTATCGGCGGCGTTGTAAAGATGTATCGCCGTAACGTCATTTGTGGGTGTGTCTGTGTCACTTATAAGAGGTTAGCTGAACATCTTGTTTGCCAGTATACTGAATTACTGTGTCACTAAATTATGTGAGTCTAAAAGGTGTCTCAAACCATCTTGATGCTCTTGAACCTTGCGGTCTAGATGTGACGTATAATTTACCGGAAAAAGCCTGTTTTTGTGCTTCAGCTTCCCGTCTGGTCTGTGGTACACTGTCTGCTGATATCCGCGTTACATGACTGAACCATTTCACCTATTGTCTTATAATGAAATATCCAGCTGCTGCTACCTACATTTTCCTTCGGATTTCATCATTTCGAATCTTATCTCCTCTTGTTTTATTGAGAGCCCTTAGCCGGAATCCTATTTTAGTTGTAATAATCCTTTTTTTCTGTCATTGTCCTAG